CCAGGAAAATGAAATGCGTATTGATTCTCCCATGTTTGGTTAACATGAAAATTATTCCTTCTCCATTAAAAGTTTGCCAAATCATTCCATTGAAAAAAAAACAGAGAGAGAGAGAGAGAGAATTAATGAACGTGAAGTAACTCTATGGAATAAATTGTGTCCTCTCCAAATTGTCCCTAAGTACAATTTATTTTTTAACCGATATGTTATGTTCTTTATACAAATAACCAATATATGCTGTTATTAAAAGTAGTATGGTAAATTACTATTATATCAAAAATAAGAATACAAAAAATATTCCTCTCTTATTCCAAGCAGATCAAACAAGATTACGAGCAGGGAGAATGTAGGAGGCAAAGGGATACTTGCTCCCCCACAATTTCAGTATTGCTCTTGTAATTTTTTAAATTTTACTTGTAAACAATGTAAAAATTAGTTTTGGCTTTTCATATTTTAGGTGATTTTCAATTTTATCCTCGATTATGTATACGTTTGGAATATGGATTCATGCATTCTCATTCTTATATTCCATCATAATGCTTTTATTTGAGCCGTTAATAAGAGTGAGGCTTGATGGACCACCTATTTAAATCTCTTTTTTATAAGGATTTAAGCTTGAAAAATATTATTTTTTAAAGAAATTGATCTTTAAATGTTAGTCCTCATAAGCAATGACCAAATGGGCTCCATTTTAGATGACGTATTTAGACTCATTTTTGTTTTTTCCTTCAAAAAATAAAATAATTTTAATTTTAAAATTAAATTTAAACTAAAGAAAAAATTTATATAATTTAAAATTAGAATTTTTACCATTTATTTTTTAATTTTTGAACATTATAATTTATATTTTAAAAAGAATATGAAATATTATAATAAAAAAATTAATTTCCAAAAATTCAAAATAATAAAAACTTGCATATGACCTTCAGTTGCTTAAACAAGGGTCAGGTTTTAAAAAAATAATTAACTTTGAAATAATCAAACTTATGCAGGGTATCCATGAGAGCTTTGGCCTGCCTGTTTCCCGCTATAACACAATGTAAGATGGAGTGAGTAACATTAGATACGAGAAATGAAAAAGATATTCAATTTGAAGTTAATATAGAGTAGTACAGGATAACATGGCCGACGTGAGTGATAGATAATCTTATCAGTTAATCAATTTACTTAGAAGAAGTTTACATTTACCTTAATATCGGGGGGGAGATATTATTTGCTGATATTCCAGTCTAACACATGGCAGCAACAACAAAATAACACAGTATGGGAGAAATAGTATATACGGGAGGCTTCGGCGGGGAGAAAGGAGCAGAGTCCCCGGGGGAGGAGGAGGGAACGAATGATGGCCGAGGAGGGAAGCGAGAGAAAAGGGCGGATTAATGATGAGTAATAATAGAAGAGAGCAAAGGTAATTCCATTCCATGGGATAATCATGAATTAGGGAATCATGGGGTTGCAGAAAAGGCCAAAAAGAGAGAGGAGAGAGAGAGAGAGAGAGAGAGACACATGATTCCAAGTGTGAACCTGAAAGGACGTGGGAAGGTGAGGCGAAGAGATGGGGAAAGGGAAAGAGAAAGGGAAAGAGAAAGAGAGACACAATGTCAGTGATTATGGGCGACGGAATAAGCAGCAACAGCATTAGCAGAGCCAGCTGCAGCAGCACTTGGAGACTAATGCAGCCTCCAACCCTCCTCCCACGCACACGACACCGTATAACAATAACACACCACTCGGGTAGAATAGAATTAAGTATTAAGGAGTTAGGAGATAGCGACTGTTTGTTTTCGATTGTTATTGGGCCGGGAAAGCGACGCATGATTGTTTCCCTGGACACGCTGCGGCCTGAGCCCCCCTCGCGTGCCTCTCTACACCGACAAGGCTCTCGCTGTCTGACACCTGTCGCTCCATCAGGCCCTTGGTTGGCCATCAGACGCTCAGGCCTATGCTGTTTGTCGCCTACTGGGTACAGGGGAGCGGGAAATCCGGTGGGGGGAGGGTGGTACGGAGGAGGAGTAGGAGGGGGAGGGAGGGGAGGGATCTGATGCGGACATGACGCGTCCGAAATCAGAGGGGAGACCCAATTATTGCTCCCCACGCTGCCCCGACACTCATGATTCTGTCGCGAACCCCATTGTCCCCACCTACCCCACCACCTTCCCCACCGTATACTTAACGTAGCCCGCCTAGCCCCATTCGAATCAACCCCCACCAAACGCCCCCCATCTTCTTCCGTTTCTTTCCATTCCGAATATCATACTATATTCATATTCCTCCCCTGGGCCCCACCCAAATCCCCCTCTATTCAAATGTTGGTTGCACTATCACCAATCTATTTCCCCACCTATGTCCCCTGAGCTTCTCTTTAAATAATAATAATCATGATAACAATAATGCTCTCTCGTGTTATTTTTACCGCCCATTTTAAACATATTTTAATAAAATTTTAAAATTTATTAATTCTATTAAAAAATACATGTGCTTCTACTTTTTATCCTCACCAAAAAAAACTTATAATAACAAATAATGATATGTTTTATAAATAAGATAAAAAATTACTTTATTATTATATACTTCCTTTATTAAAAAATATAAAGTACTTTTTTTAGGAGTGAGATGTTAAAAAATATAAGACATTTTTAATTTTTTGAGGTATAATTATCGTCTTTTTTTAAAAAGTATTCTTTGATAGTGACTTTATATTTATTATAAGGTGTTTAATATAAATAAATATAAAAAAATAAAGTTAATTTAAAATACGTAACTATTTTATTGGGATAAAATTCAGTTAAAAATACTTTATATTTTTAACAGAGTGAGTAAATAAGATCAAAGAACGAAAGTATTACATATATTTAAAGTTTTTAATATTTATGATCTTTTTAAAATTATTTATTGCATGTCAAAATATATTTTATTTCTAAAAGAAATTTACATTTAAATATACTTATTAAGGTACTCGGAACCAAAAAATAATTTCATTTCATTATTATATTAAAGAAATCACATGTTTAATACAACAACCTCCTATCTAAATTATGAATGCTTCCATGAACTACTTTTGAACGTTGAAAGATATGTCGATTTTTTTCCTTCTTCTTTTTAAACAAAAATATTTGAAAATATGCCAAAATTGTCTACTTTTTTAGGACGAAAATTTGTTGATTTGGATGGTCACATCAACTTTCTTAACGGGATAACTATAAAATAATAATAATAATAAGGGAAAATAATAATAACAATAACAACCGAAGAGTTTATAGTTGCATCAGGGATAGAAAGAACATTCTTTCCTTTATAATACTAACAGCACGGTGTACTCTAAAACCCTGTTTGATATATAAATCTTCAATTTAAAAGGGATTGAAATTGAGATTAACAGTGAAATTAAAATTAGATTGAAAATAAGAATGAAGTTTTAAAATCATGTTTGGTATGCAGTAATACTTGTAAAAAATACTTCCTTTTATTTTATTTTATAATTATATATAAATTATGAAAGACTATAATACCACTTAAAATTAAAAACAAAATTGATTAGAATCCCTTCGAATAAGCCGTTGGTTCTGAAGCAATTTGAGATATTCTTCATGCGCGTCCTCTTTTTGTTAATTCCTAAGCTTCTTGCTGTTCCCATTCATGGCAGATTTCTGTTCTTCTTCGTGCACAACTAGTCTCTCGCCTCTCCCTCACAAGGACAAAGCCAGGTTCTCCTTTAACTTGCCTCATTGATGCCTCCACCACCACGGCCACCAAGTCTAGGACATATTGAAACTCGTGGTACTTTAAGGTCAAGTGCAGTGACTTCATTCGGCGGTTTAAATTTGGCCAAGGTTGTCACTAGTGGAGGAGAGGCTTGGGTTGTTAGTCATTCTCGTTCTTCTCTCATCTTCGATCTCCTTCTCTCTTCAGGTTCAGTGGTGGCATTGATGGAGGATGGTGTTGGCGTCGATGGAGGACTGTGTCAGTGTCGACGGATGAGAGGGACATTGGCATCAATGTTGCTTGGTTTGAAATTGCATTGAGTGAGTGAGGGCTAAGGGAGAGAGATGAGGTTGAGAGGTGAGGATAATTTGATCTGAAAATAATCAAACACAAAATTAATTTTTCAATATCAGGGAAGTGATGGTATTGGGCAATTTCACTTAAGTAAAATTAAAATTAAGATTAAAGTTTTTACTCTCTTATATCAAATATAAAAAAATAAAATTATTCAATCTCAATATCGATTTCACACTCTCAATTCTTTCTATCAAATAGGGACTAAGTCTAGAGGAAACTGTGCTAAAAACCATTAGAAACAAGATTTGATTATAAGAATGAAATAAATGGATGGATTTATTATTACTTATATGAGTATCCTGCAATGATACGATAGGCAGAAAATAACGAGGGAGACCATGTCGAGAATCCAATTGACTAGTTATTGGGATGATGTATCTGGGGCACAATTCTTGAGATGTGCTGCATTGTCAGAAGAAAATAATGCGGCCTACACGAATTAGAATATTGAATCCTTCCTTATAACATAGGCGTACTGTAATGGTATTGACTAGGGGAGCAAGATTAGATTTTCGATGCACAGCCCATGTTAATAATTAATTATTAATTATTAAAAAAGAATACACCGTAGGAAGGTGGGTGCGGATTGGATAAAGCCAAGACCAGAGAATTGATATGCGCATATAATATTAACAACGTGCTTGACTTATTTTAGATTTTTTAATGGTCTCTTCGCATGATTACCATTCTGGTCTCGCTAATTGGGAGAAAAGCTGTTGTGACACAATCTCATCTTATTATTAAAAAAATATTGATATGAGATTTCATTATCTGCGCTTACATTGATCATCATTCAAGTGCATGCATCTGACTGTGAAGTGAACTACCTATTATACAACATTAAAATTCCAAGTGCGTCCCACTATTATGACCTTTCTGGTTTCCACATCCTCTTCTTATTCCATATGCATCAAAACCCATGAAAAATTTGATGATAAAAATTTATTATGAATCAGAATTAAGGATTGAGTCTTTTGCACAGGAGCCCCAGTACCATTAGCCGGCCCAAGCAGAGGCTCTTCTGGAGCCGACTGAAATGCCGTGCTTAACAGAACACTGTACTAAAGCTGATCCACTCTGTCTCATATAAGCCTCAGAACTTGTCTCTGTTTGAGCCACAGATATTCTCTCCACATTTTTTTCTCTCTCTCTCCCAATCCCCATAAAAGCCCTGAAATTCTCCCCCAACAACCAAACCCATTCTTCCTTCTTCAACCAAAAAAGGACAGCTTTCTTCTTTCTCCATCTTCGTTGAGTAAAAAACTCTTATCTAATCCCACGTAAAGCTAGTATTTTTCTGCTTGATTTCTACCCATCCCAATGCCGTCAAACTCCGGCGACAACCCCCGACCATCCAAGTCCCAAGCTCCTCCACCGGAACAAGAGCATCTCCCATGTCCTCGATGTGACTCCACCAACACCAAGTTCTGCTACTACAACAACTATAACTTCTCCCAGCCCCGCCATTTCTGCAAGGCTTGCCGGCGCTACTGGACTCACGGTGGTACCCTCCGTGACATCCCCGTTGGCGGTGGCAGTCGCAAAAACGCGAAACGCTCTCGCACTGCCTCTTCAGCTTCTTCCTCTGTCACGGCGACTTCTTCCGTTTCTACTCAGGACCATCCACTCCCTACAACCCCTGTATTTGTACCCATCTCGGGTGGCCAAGGAGGTTCCATGCCGTTTGGGGGCAACGGTGGAGTTGAGTGTGATTTGAAATCTAGCATGGGAATGTGTGGAAGCTTCACTTCTTTGCTTAACAACACCGCACAAGGGCCCGGGTTTCTGGCTCTAGGCGGGTTCGGGCTTGGACTGGGTCACGGGTTTGAAGATATGGGATTTGGGAATGGAAGAGGTGGTTGGGCTTTTCCTGGGATGGTGGATGGCCCCAACATTAACGGTGGAGTTGGGGCTTCCGGCGTTGGAAATTCATGGCAGCTAGACGGTGGCGAAGGTGGGTTTGTTGGCGGTGCAGACTGCTTCTCTTGGCCGGGACTCGCAATTTCAACACCTGGAAATGGTCTGAAATGAACTGGTTTACTTTCTTTTCTTTTCTTTTCTTTTTTTTGGCTTTTATTTTCATTTCCCTTTGTGCGAGGGAAGGTCCTCTGATGGTTTAGAGTTTAGTTTATTGCGTGTTTGGGGGTATATCTACTAGAGACATTAGAAAGACACTGCGACCTTTTTTTGTTTCTTTGGTTCCATCAACTATCTTGTTCTGTGTATGTTATTAGTGTTTACTTGTCTAGTGTTGAGCTGTGTGAAATCTCTACAGTATCTGTATCTGATATAGCTTCAAGCTTCCTAATCGTTTAAACAACCTTGAATTCTGATTCAGCCGTTGTCGAGCGAAGTTAATCCCCCTTTTGATCGTAATTCATACCAGTAATTTATTCGCACGAAAATGAGAGGTTAATTAAAAGCACGGGTATAAGAAATCAGCAATTTCTGACTCCAGGAATGTTTGTTTGTTGTGGACTTTGAATATTTGACAGAGAATTCGGGAGGAATATATATAGTATTAATTAGATTTTAATCAATAATGGGGTTAGAAAGCTGGTCAGTGCTGTTGTCTGGTTATAGAAATCGAAAAATTGTCGTGGTCGAGTTGTTTATTATTTTTCTTCAATCACATGCCAATGACGTGCGTGTGTGTATATAATGAGCCATACATACGCACAGTGAATCACGTTTGGTGGAAGATACGCTCTTCGTCTTCACTTGTTTTGTTCTTTTGTTACCTTGAGGATACGATTTTGTTTGTTTTCTAAGTTATAGCAAGTTTGTTTCAGAATTATTAGCAACCGTTCAGTTTTTGGTGGACAGTTAAGTGTACTATACTTGGAAGAGGTGAATGGTATTGGCATGAACTGATTGCCTTTGAAACTCATCTAATTACCATAATTCACGCTACACATACCTGGAAATCGATTATACTTGTGATGCTTCTGGTATCTCCGTGGAATGAACCATTAGGGCCAATCCAAGTGAATCTCATCTTGGTCTCTGCTTCTGTTTGTTCTTTTGTCATACGCATGCGCCATTGTTTTTTCTATTTGAGCACGTTTGTTTCGGAATGATCGGTTGGGATATAATTGGCAAAAATCAACGTGCCTTTTGACACATCTAATCATTATTTTTAAAGATACATTTGATTGAATTTGCGCCAACGTTCGAATTTTCTTTTTTTTAGTGTTGTTATCTTCTTATCTTTAGTCAGATTTGAGGAGGTTTTCCAAGTTGAAATTCGTTCAAGAGATGTTCAAATTGGATTTGGATAGGGGCCGTTCAGGAAGAGGGGTCCCATTTGTTGCCTCCCCTCTCTCTTCTTTTTTCTTTTTCTTCTTCTTTTTCTATATTCACAATACTAATGTAGCTTCAACAATTTAATTTTGTTGACCACTGTTTAGATTTTAGTTGACTATAATTGATTATAAAAAATTTGATTAATATGATTGATTTTGATAATAAATTTATTATAAAGTAATTATGTTTAGAAATTATTTTTTTAAATTAATTTTGATAGAATTGAAGATAGTTGGATGATTTAGTTGGGATTAATTTTAGACGTGTAAATTATCATAAAAGATATTGTTTTTAAAAATAAAAATATTAATAAAGTTATATGTAATATTTTTAAATTTTTTAATTTTATTTGATAAGTAAAATATATTGTTTAACTTGTATAACTAATTAAATTGAGGACATGATTCTGCATTTACTCTTTTGAGTTTTTTTTTAAAGTTATATATAATTATACATAATTTATTTCCTAATATTATTTAAATTTTAAAATTATTTTAAAAATAATCTGTGATGATGATCTTGCACACGTTCTGAAAAGGAATATGTGTGTGTGTGTGTGTGAATAATTTTCACTTTTCAAAAACCACAAGCCATGCACAGATACATGTATTTGGGTTGTTAAAATTTGACTTACAATTGATGTACCAATGGATGGAATCCATCGACAAAAGGAGGACAAATCAACTTCCTTGATAATGGAGTTTAGGGTCCAGAATCATGTAATTAAAAAAAAAAGTGAGTGTTTGGGCCTTTTTATACAAAGTCATGGTTTTATATATTTAGAATCGATTATATAACGTATCCAAACTGACACTTACAGAAGTTAATCTTGTTAATTTTTTTAATAAAATGCACAGATCCCCTTTATTAGTGAGATTACAAAGACTTTTCCTTTATTTGCAAGATGTTTATGTTAAAACTTTTTTTTTTACATGATAAATAGATGTTTGATATATGAAGAAAAATGGTTTTTTTTTTGGAAAGAAAAAGAAGAATATATCTGAATAGCTTTTTAAAAAAAAAACATTTTCCCACAGAGAAAACGTTCACTAGAGTATTACTCTTTGTAACTATGAATAACCAAAAAGAAATTAAAAAAAAAATACACGGCTAAGTGAGGCCTCAAAGACGGGACACAGCTTCATCTAATGTAAATATATCTTACTCTGAATTGAACTTGTTTTTGTTTTAATGGTTCTGACTTTTAAATACATAGTATATGATAAAATATACTGTATGAGGAGAATTTCATCTAAGGACCCACAATAGCCAATAGTTTATAAATTAGATTCAAAACCATTGTTTTAAAAATCATATTGAACTGGCCTGTTGAACTGCTGATCAAAGCTGGTAACGGCTCCATTCAGATAAAAAACCATTTTCACTATTGAATCATATTGGATCAGAGTTAAACTGTTATTAAACTAAAATTAAAGTTGAATCTGTAGTGATTTTTTAAAAAATGGACAACTTTAAACATAATATTAAAAAAATATTAAAAATTAACAAAAATTTAAAAATTAAATTTCTACTAAAAGTCAACTTTATTTTTAGATAATTTACATATATAAAATATGATTTGAGACTTTTTTTTTAAAGAAGGTGATATTTATATGTGTAAATACAAATAATTTTGAATCTACTAATATTTAATTTAATCAAGATCCACCTATATTTCACAAATTATAAAATTATAATTTATAATATTGTTAATTTACAATCATGTTATGACATTTTATTAACAACTAGGCCTATTGCAAATTTGTTTCTTATATTTATTTTATTTTTATTTTTATTTAATTATTATATTACTAATCTAATTAGTTAGACCATAAAAATTAAAAACTACTAACTTTTTTTATTTAATGTCCAATTCAACTTTTAAAACATTGTTCAAAACTATAAAATTACATTGCAAGATTTTAAGACTGAAGTAAAGAAAATACTTAAGTAAAATGACCAAAATGTACTTATTGAATGATTTAGAAAAATCATTAGCTCGTAAAATCTCTAACATTATTCTTGTGTTACTTATTAAATCCATAATATTACTTGTAACATTATTTAACATGTGTTAGATTCATTCATAATGACTTGTTAAGTTATTAATTGTACTTGTAAAATTATTCACCTTACTTGTTAATTAATTTCTTTGTGTTACTTATTAAGTCGATGACATTATTTATGCATTATCTAATTTGTTTTAAATTCATATATCATGATTTGATAAATTATTAACTTTTCTCATAAAATCACTAACATTACTTATTAATCTCCTTGCATTCCTGGTTGAGTCTATAACATTATTTGTTTTAAAAATAGTTAGTTACTGTGTTTTTCTTAGAAGAAATTCTCCCTACTATATGACCCAATTACATAATCTAAAACTTGTTTTCCGAACCTGCCATGCCCATTATTATAGTTCTCGCTTAAACCGTAAATAGAATGAAACAAAAGACAAAACCATACAGACAATATATATTATACATTTCGAGCTTTGTGCAATAGAGCAGGCTTATCTCCATCATATGCCCAGAAGGAATTTATAATCATGGGAACTAATTTCATGATAATGCTGCTTGGGTAATTCAAAAATAAAAACTTATTAACGATCCATTTGATCAAAGATGAGCCATGGCGATCGCAATATCTACATAAACTCACCAATGAGAATTGGTCCAAATAGTAAGTGACTCTGTTTTGCTTAAACAAAATTGAGTTTGGGCTTTTGTATATGTAAAACCCTCACTAAAAGACTCACTCATCATAATCAGGTGTGTGATGTGGGTCGGATCTAAATTAGTTAAGGGAAAGCTTTGGATATTGAGTGGACAACCAAATATACATATATATATATATATCTATATAAACTCTTCGAAAATTAAAGTTTCATGTCGTCTTTATTAGTTATCAACTCATTTAACTTTCTATAAAGTTGAGCTCTATTTCTTTCAACAATCGCCCATTCTTAAACATCTATCAAATTGAAATTTAAATCTGATCTAATAAAGAATATAATGTGGCAAATGTTTCTTAGAAACTTGACTTGAGAGACAATATTAAAAGGATTAATTAGTTGGCTCAAGAATAACTCATTCATTTGTTCAAAAAATTATTCTGGTTCCATTCTGTGTACCTTGAATTATGATTCATTTTTAGTAGGGGTAATTATCATTTATCCATCCATCGTATTCATTATTCTTTTTATTTTTTTTTTGGGTAAAAAGACAAATATATCAATTAAAGAAAAATGAAATCTACAAAGAAAGTGTTAAAAAATAACTAGAATAAATGGAAAAAGACAAAATGCTATAGCCACATTTTTAATAGAGTGTATCCACTAAAGTCCTATAAAACCTTTGAAATGCCCTGGTCTACAAGATGATGCCGACTAGAGCTAAAGTAAATACTTTTTTAATGTATAATCTTCAAATTTCTTAAACTCGCAAAATCTCCAAAATGTTTTTAAAAAAATTTTAATCCAAATCAAAAGGTTGCAAACACAAAAAGCAAAAAAGAGATGCTGGAAGATAATTTCATATTTGCAAAGAAGTAATTCATGGGCTAGGTTTCCCTCTCTCCTGCGTGCCTCCCTAAGGGAGGCATGTATTTGGACTATCAAGATTAAATGTGTAGAGTTCAAATTTCATGTTTTTTATTTTTTATTTATTAAAATAAAAAATTTATATAAATTATAAAATATTTTAATAAATATATTCATTATTTAAAGTATATTTAGATAGTTAATGTTAAATCTAAAGTATATTTGGATAGTCTAAACAATCTAAATTAAATATAAATGATCTAAATTTATAAAAATATTAATGTTAAATCTACATTATCTAAAGTATATTTGGATAGTTAATTTATAAAAATTTTAATATTAAATGTGAACCATTTATTTAATATGAACCATTTATAAAAATTTTAATTCGGACTATCCAAACTAGTGAACCAATTTATTAAAATTTTTTATAATTTATATAATTTTTTATTTTAATAAATGAAAAATAAAAGATAAAAAATATTAATCTAAATAGTTTAAGTACATGTCTCTCTCAGCAGAGATGTAGAGGAGGCTTCCTTTCAAGAAAGTAAGCTGAGTCCATTCAATTCATCCCTCATCATTCCAAGATAAAGATATAGTATAATAAGTTTTCTTTCTTCTCTTGAAGACAGTAAATTAAATTTCTCAACTTAAAAAATAAAATTGAGTGTGAGATTTACCTAAAGAAAGTGGAGATCTTTCTTCTGCGATTCTATAATCTGTAGCTTTCCTTGCATTATATCCATTGTTCTATCTGCATGTACCTTTTAAAAAGAGATATTGTTCATTAAAGTGTTGAATCATCTGTGAGATTGGAGTTATCTTTTCAATGTGAAAAGTTTGATTTCTATTATACCAGATCAAATGAAGAACAAGGTTAATGCATTTTAGAGTTTGAATTTCCTGATTTTGGAACAAAGATTTATAGAAATGTCTTGAGTAGGGACAATTACAAAAAGCATGATGTAAAGTCTTGTGAATTAACAGTCAATCAGTCAAATGCACACTAGAGTGAATAATTAAGGTAATGCTTGTAAAAAGATATCTCTTGTAAGAATTACATCATGAACCAATTTACAAATGAAGATGAAATTTTTATAAAGCAAATAAAATTTCTAGAAAAAATTTCAAATTTCTTCTTTTGCAAGAGGATTTTCTTGGAAGCCATGAGAAGTCCAAAAAAATTATCTTAACTCAAATAGAAACTAGGGCCCCAAATTAAATGATAAGTCTGATTAGTAAAAGAAATAAAGGTGCTTAAAATTGAGTTAGCCTCCTCCCTACCATAGAAATTAATCAATTATTTACAAATGATACATTTCATTTAACAGCCATTTTTTATGGCAGTTGCAGAGCCAGGATTTTGGGCCAGGAGGGGCAGAATTATTTACATATTTATAATTTAAAAAATAATAAAAAATTATTTAATAATTACTTACCTTATAAATTTTCTCTATATGGTTTCATATTTTAAAATCGTTAAATAATCAACTCATTGTCAATGCTTTCAAATACTTCTTTTTCAATATAAATAGAGACAATCATTCATCCATAGTTTGCTCATTCAATTACGTAACCATTTTTCACAAATTTGATAGCAGAAAAGGTTTTTTCAACTGATTTTTTTTTTCAAATTTGATTTGAAATTTCAAACGACGCCGGCCAAATTATTTTTTTATTTTTTTAAAATTTTAATAAATATTACTTTTTTATAAAATAATATTACTATTTGAAAATATTGAAATTGTGAGCTGAAATTTATTGAGCTTTTGAGTTAAAAAAATTAATTTTAAATCTGAGTTTAAAAATAATATGAAATGAGTTTAAAATATAAAATATAAAAAAAAGGATGTGTAAAATATAAATACTCATATCTCCATCTCATCTAAGTAATTTTTTTCATTTGCCCCCTCCCCAATACACATGCCTTCGCCACTGGATGATGGGTTAATAATGATTAAATCGTAACTTCGGAAATTTGTATTCAGTCTTCATATGTACGGTGCGAAAACTTAAAATAATGAGGTCACGATTTTTTTTTTTTGAGTAAAGAGGTCACGATTTTTAATCAGGTGAATAATATATATATATATAGCATTCAACACTATTCATTATATCGGGTGATTATTATCGACTCATCATGTCATAACGTGAACTCTTCTTTTTTTCGGTCAATATAACGTTCTCAGTTCAAGCACTTAAACTTGGGAGGATTAAGGCGGGTGTTTTGGCCCTGAATTTCGCTCTTTAGGGTTTAAAGAGGGTTTTTCTTGAATTCTCTGATCAACTCCTGGAGAAGGATGACAGTATCGCCCGAAGAATTTCTGGTATAAAATTAACATAATGTCATTTTCGTTCTTTTCCACACCACAACAGCAGCTATTGTTTCAACTACAACAGCTGCAGCAACAACGGCAGCTGCTTCTTTTCATTAAAGATGGAAGTCGCGCTACTTATAGTACCAAGCGGGAGGATCTCCATCCTCTATCCCAGAAGATTCACCTTCAGATTGAGTACGCTAGCTTCTTTGTCCTTCTTCCTTTTAATTTCTGTATTGTTAGTTTCTGCCCAAAAAAAAAAAAACAGAGAGAGAGAGAGAGAGACAGAGAGAGAGAATGAGGAACAATCCATGGTTTGTGTCCATCTCCTCTTTTGTTGTCAGCAACCACACGACAGGCCTTCTGATGATTGATTAACTGATTTTTTTTTTTAACTATCTTTTTGTTAAATAATTTTCAGTTATTCGATCTTTTTATATTTTCTCCTCTGTCTGCACCATCAAATCGTATCCTGCACGGGATTGGGACTAGAATGGAACTCATTTGAAACTTAAAGCATGCATTCAGTTTGAATACCTGTATTTGGTGTTGGTTAATTGGCCATTGTTAGAGACTCCAATACACCTTGTAGGCATGCACCCAGACGAGTGACAAAAGTAAATTTAAGAGTTGGTGACCAACCTTACAAACTACTCCCTCCATCCATTATTAATTAAATCCTTCGTATCAATAAAAGTTTGTTATTTAGTTAAAATCACATAATTTTCTGGTTTTATCCCTAATAATGTCACAATTAATATCATAGTGGTGGAGGGTAAAGAACACAATTAATATCTCCTCCATTCTTAAAAAAAAAAGAAGGGCAAAATTGTTTAATTACTCAAAAATATCATTGGAATTTCTTATATTTAGGGACATAATAAACTTTTATAAAACACTATATATAGGGAGAGGGGCAGTACACGAACAGATTGCGTGTTGATATAGAACCAGAACTTGTGACTGCCTAAATGCCTTTGTGGCATATTTTGTGTAATTCTTGTTTGATCTTTGTGTTATTAACTGCTATCTGTTACTGAGGGAGCGGATTTTAGAGTATAGGGATGAGAGTCAGAGATTACGTCAGAGCAGTCGTCTCTAAATATTCAGTTTCAAATGATGGCTTTAAGTCTGATGCCAGCCATATTGTTTAGGTGCTCCATTTGCCCTCATGTTTCTTTGATGTTTGATGATCTTTTTGCATGATGTTTTCCTCCTCATGGTGGTCAATTATCTGTTTCATTATTGTTGTAACATAAACAAATGCTTTTTATACTTCAAGTGGCTTATGATTTTGTTGGTTATTAATCTCTGCGTACACAATGGGACAACGAAGTTTACAAATATTTTTTGGTTAAAACATGTCTATCTGGGCCTCAATGCTAATCAATTTGTGTTTGAATTTGTTTAAATCCATCAGATGCTACAGAGTTCTGCTGACAATTTAGGTAATCTTAGATATGACGGGAATTTAGCATGTAATGAACCCAGGGTCACATTATTGCTTGTAATTAATTAACAGTAAGACAACAGCAGCTTGTGTTAGCTGTTCTCATTATCGTCGTTCAACTGAAAATATTGCTATTTTTAGCTTAAGTCTAAATATAATTTCAAACTTCTGAGGTTGTTTTTGCTAATTTGAAACTTGAAAGAATTTTATTCGACTTAGTTGACACTAAAAGACTTAATTTTACATGGTGAGACTGATCTCTGTTGATCTGTAAATGGAAATTCTTAATTAGTCCATTTAACAACATCAAATAACTTCAATAACACAAACAGCTTGTGAGCTTTTTTATTATTTTGTCAGTTGCCTAAGGAAATCAAATAATGGGCATGGGGGCTAGTAGTTGTATAAATGGGCTAAACTGGATCAATAAATGATATGAAATCTTACTGACGCACATTTTCATAAACTTGCGAGTTTGGCTGTGGGATGTGTTAGGGCATTTCATGACAGGGGTCTCCTCTGGGCTCTTGATGTGACAACTTTTCCTTTCATTTCTTCATTTAAGTTTTATCTCCATGGCTCACTATACTGTTTGATTGTATTTTCTTTTTCCAAAAAACATGAGTTAATCATTAATTTTAGCTGGATTAGTTATGCTGTCTCTTGTGAGTTTATTCTTGATCTGGTGAACTTTTGTAGTTGTGTATAGATGGTACAATAGCTATCTTCTCCTATTTGATAGGTACATCGTGGAATCAGGGCTGCCATGGAATGACCACGAAACTTGCAGCGGGAACTGACGTCTGCTGTAAAGAATATGTTATTTAACACACAGATGCCTGTTCGTTCTTATAGGACTTTATGTCCAAGGTTCCTTCATCGTAATAAGGGGAATGCTTTTAGCTCCACTGCTCCATCGCAGATAGCTGGAGTGACTGTTATGCCTATATTTTTTAGTATAGCACGAGCTACATTCATGCCTGTGCCTCATTTTTACCATGGGCTTCTGAAGAAACCATCATCCCTCTTATGCCAAACAGCTTCAACATTTGATAAGCATCTTGGTGAATACTGCCAGAGGATTGAAGAGTTGGAACTGCTTCTCAAAAACTCTGAGAGAAACACTTCCAATAATGGATCCTTCTCCTTGCAGTCTCTTCCTGAAGTCATGGCAAACGTGCATGACATTTTTATTCATGTGGTTACAAAGGTACATATGAGCATTTTGCAATTTCAATTGACCTTGCCCCGTAAAGCTTTTGAGAGTATATTGCATTATGTAGTCATTTTTTTTATCTTTTCTTAAGAAATGTCAAAAATATATGGACATTTTTTCATGTTGCAACTCTCAATACTCTTCTCACTGTAAATTGTATTTCTTCCACCCCTTTATCTTTGGTTTTCTTCCATCCTTTTGTACTCGTTGTACATGCTATGGTTGCAACTTATGAACTCAGTTTGTCTAACAGAATCTGTTATTTACTTGTTCATATGCGTAGTTCTGAACACTTGTCCTTTATACCTTAAATTAAATTAGTAATGTAAATATTCATAGTTGTAAAGATGTATTTTGCATAATCGCTAATATGAACTGGGAGTCATTGCCATGTACTATCTCATAGTTGTTTTGATGAACCAGACCCAAAACTCAGTGCATTGAAGATGATGCTTCTGAGATGTTCACCCTTAGCTCAAAATAAGTAAATATTATAAAGGGGATGCATGCTTTTTCTTTTTTCCCTTTACAGTGGTAACAGCTTGCAACATGTTTTCCTAGGTGGAGAACAGCATTCACCAGCACATGAATCACATGAAATCAACATGCCACGTTAAACATCGCCCCTGGCAAGAGCAGAATGATCCATCTCAAGTGGCTGATCAGTGTGAAACAGCAAGAAAAGAAATTGCCTCAAAAAGAGTTCATCCAACACTGCAATTACGGGAAGATTCACAACCATCAACAGAACTTGCTGGGTTATTTTCTAGTTCTGGAACAGCAGGGCCATTGACTGCCCCACATACATCTCCACTAACTTCAAATTCTTCTGGAAGTGGGTTCTCAGTTTTTAGCATGCCTCCTTCAGCTCCATCTTCATTGTTGTCATCTTTTTCTATGACGACAACAACTTTTGCTCCACAATCTCCTTTGTTATGGTCGTCAAGTGCTACACCCCAAACCTCACTTTTAATCTCTTCATCGAGTTTCTTGTTCTGTTCCACTTGCTCTCAGTTTGGTAGTACTGCTCCATTATGCGGTACAACTTCTGGAGGATCAACCTCTTCAACCTCATTTTCTTTAGGTATTTTAATGAGTACAGTTTTTCTGAGTGGCCTACTTTTAACTTTTAGTGAACTGCATATCGTTTTGCATATAAAATTGACTTAGAAAACAGATTTTGTTTTTTGGTGCATTGATAATGTCTTTATCACTAGCTTCACAAATCACTCATGACTCAATATCTTAACAATATTTCAGTAAGTAATTTTGCACATTGGCAAGTTTGAATTCACATGTTTTAACACCATGTCTTATGCACGGTTATGCTTGTTGAAAGATGACTATTACAATTCTGGGCCCAGGAGGTGGTTGGTAGGGATAAGGAAACTAGATATAGATGGGAATACACGCTTCTATCCATAAGGAGTTTTATGGCTCAGGATAATTTACCATCTGTACTGTTCCTGAGTATTCATGAGACTCTATTGGCTCAGTCGCCTTTAGATATTCTAACATCATAACATCAACACACAACTTTTATATATAGCAGTCGGGGCAACAAGGGGGTCGGCAAGCTGCAAGCATATTTTTATGCAACCAGAACTCGAATCCTTAGAAATTGGAAACGTTAAAAAATATAAGATTATAAATGGGATACCTGGAGGATGGATTTAATGATTTCCCCCCTTAAACTTCATTGTATACCAGCAATTTTCATTTCTGTTTTCCCCCTCTTCCTCAGGTTCTGCAACAGGATCAGGGGCAAGATTTAAATCTGAGTATCCTTTTTGGCTTCTGACTTTTCAGGGAATCCAGCTAAAAATATTAATTGATTGGTTAATACAGCCTATTGTATGGTACTTGGCCTTGCCTGCTTTATAGAGATAAAGCATTTCAGTCCTCTGCATAACTTCACGACATTCCGTTGTAAGAATGCAACGATTTGACCTTTTTCTTTCATGTTTTTGCAGAAAGGAAAAAGGTCAAGATCCTAATACTCCTTGATGCTGACAGAAGTGATCTGAAATTGTAAGGCTGTTCGCAGCTTTTCTGATATGAACGTTCCTCATGGAATATTGATTTGTTCTTGTGACATGGTCTTACACTCAACTTCTTTCCTACGATTCTAATGGATCTTCAGAGGTAGAAAAGGCATCGTAGACTCGTAGTTAGTATCGGATGCCATTTATTATGCCATATTGAATTTCCTTCAGTTCTTCTGTGAGGCATTTTCGAGTGTGGCCCTGCAAAATACTATTCTCTAACAGGGTGATTGATCTAGGTCATGATTTTGGGTAAAAAACTTTCATGGAGTTATAGCCAGTAGATAAAAAATTTTGTTGGTTGAATTTGTTGTGGGAGAAGGCTTCTCTACGTTAATCGTTATGAAATTTTGCCCCATGTATAACTGGATCCGTTCCTGTGTCCAAACGGCCTATAAATTGCTCTGCAATTCTCAATAGCTAATACGGTTCGTTATGGATGAGGTCTTCTTTCTTTTTTTCTTCTCTATTTTGAATACGAGGCCACAGAAAATCCTTATTAAAAATTAAAAATAAAAATTGGGTCATGTCAGATTTTATGAGGGATTTACAGCCTGAAAGCAGATGAAAGGCTTGGCTAGCAAGCATATCAATGCATTTATTTGTTTTTCTGAACGTGTAATTGAAGGTAATAATTCAATCTTTTATTACAAAAAATTGAGGTCTCGTTTCATTTGGTTTCCTTTTGATTCAGTTCCATAATCTTTCGACGTAGGGCTTCTGTGATGAAAATACTAGCGACGGGTGCACAATAGTGGCTAAAGTGGTCTGGCATGAATTGGTCTTGTTTTAAGACAATTGATCGTTGATCTTGGTCTTATCGGTCAGACAGTCCAGATGTATGGATTGCCATTAAATATGAACGCGTTCATAATTTTTTCGCATGGCTGTGGAATTATTGGTCACGACAGCAGTGGAGCATGTAAAAATCCTCTGCCAATAATCAATGTTGAGGATGCTGGTAAATAAATAAATCAATGATGAGGATAAAAAATGTGAACCAAATTAACAACCTAGACACACGTGCTAAACAAAACCCACATTGGCAAAGGAAAACAAGGGCCAAAGTAAAGGGAAAATGACACTTAAAATTCCAATGGAATTATTTTATTCAAGTAAAGTCCTAATAAATTTTAAAATATAAAGTAAGTCCCTCAAATCTTTAACTGGTATTTTCTTATAATGTAATCGATTCTAGATTTTAAAATTAATAAAATATAAAATTACAAATTTAGGAGATAGAGTTGCTAATTTCCGGAAGTGTTTAAATAATAATATGTTACTGTTCAAATTTAATCATTAAAATTTGTGTTCCTTATTAAAATCAACAAAATGATTTGCAAATTTAAGACAACAAAAATGAAAATTTATCTTCCAAATTTGATATTTTGCAACTCTGTCTCTCAAATTTGTAATTTCATTTTTTTAATATGCAACTTGTTTTTCCCATTTTAATAGGGAATACAAATCTCAATGATAAACTTAGAAAAGAATTAAGTCATTATTTAAACACTTTTAGGAATTTGCAACCCTATGTCCCAAATTTACAATTTTGTCACCTTGAATTTACAACACACTTTCTCGATTTTATTAGAGAATACAAATCTTAATGATTAAATTTGAAAAGTAACATTTCATTGACACTTTCATGAATTTGCAACTTCGTCTTCTAAATTTATAATTTTGTTTTGTTAAATTTGCAATTTATTTTTTTAATTTTAAAATTGATAACATATTACATTATATAAAAATACTACAAAAAATAGTGAATTAGTAACAAAATTTAGTAATGGATATTTCGTTGCTAATCTGTCATGGATATTTTGTTGCTAACTATCACAAATCTATTGCTAATTTTGTCACTAATTTATTAATGGAATTTAGCAACAAAAAAAATTAGTTACTATTCTATTACTAAACCTTCAGAGATAATTTTACTAACAACATTTTTGGTGCTAAAAATTTCATCACTATTCCATCACTAAACCACCAAAAATAATTTAGCAATAGAAGTTTTTGACGGAAATGTCCATTGCTAATTTTCAGGATACATTATTCTCATTTTGTGACAGTATTTGTGGTAGAAAATTCCGCGACAAACCCTTCCATTATAATTCCATCTCAAATTGTTTTCAATTTTTTTGTACGATTTATAATATATATTTATATATAATTTATTTACTAACTTATTATTATTCTATAAATAAATAATTTAATAATTATAATTTATTATTTTAAATTATTTAGATATTAAATATAATTACAATAATTTAAATTATATATTTTATTATTTTTTGATAACATAATAACATACCTAATTAATGTTATTTAAAAACAAAAATATTTTTAAAAATAATTTAAAAATATAAAATAGTGATAATAAAATATTTTTTCATTTTACTATTAAATTTTCTATAAAAATAATTTTTTAAAAATATAATATAATATATATAGGTATTATATAAAAAATTAAATTTTTATTGATAAATAAAAATAATGTTAAATAAAAAAATATATTTAAGTTATATATTTATTGATATATATGTGTGTGCACGCGTGCGCGTGAGTGGGTGGTTAACTATTATATATTTAATTTATTAATTAAAGATTAAAAATTTTCTTCTACTCAACTAGTAATAAGATTTGATGCCAAGACTTATGAAGATACAAAATTGTGGATTCAAACTTCGCTAAGACACATTTTAAGTTAATATATAACATGAAGGTAATATGGCAGGGCCGTGGTGACGTGGAGGCAACGTGATAGGTAAGTGGCAATGAAGTGGCACTGACCCACTAGATAATGTGGCAATATTAATTTTTTATGGAACTTTCATTTGTGACGGATTAGCCATAAAATACATTTCGTTACATAATTGGAATAGCTTATTTTTATTTAGTGATAAAAATTTTCTGTCACTGATTTCATCACTAACAAATTAGTGATGATGTTCTTACTAAGGGACTTATTTTGTTACTAATCCGTTTAGTGATGAAATTTGTATTGATGAGTAATGAAATTTTTCATTACTAATTCACTGTTTTTTTTATAGTGAAATACCATTTAAGGACCTAAGAGACTTATTTTATATTTTAAAATTTATTGGGACTTTACTTAAATAAAATGATCCTTTTGGAACTTAAGTGTCATTACCCTAAAAGTAAAAGACTGAATTCAAGATTTTTTTTTTAATAATATCAAGAATTCAAGATTATGTCATGAGATATGCAATGTTGCTCAAATACAAAATATAAGACATTTTCTACTAAATAATGTTGGTCTAAAATGTAAGGCACTTTGCAAAAAGTCAATAGCATTAAATTCTTCTATTTCACATATACCTATATTGATTATATTGTAAAGTGAGATTAAAAGAGAAAAAAAGTAAAGGTAATTAAGATGGATTGATTTTAATTGGAGGATAACCTTGGAAAATAGTGGCAAATTTTACCCATTTAATTATACAATTTAGTTGTAATTACAGATGTAAGAAATTTAATTTTTATATGCAGCCCGATTACACCCAAAACTCAAGCTTAAACTTCCATTTACACAATCTTAAATTGGCTAAGTTGGTTGGCTCAACTTGTTTTCCCAATTCCATTGCTATGACAAATTATTGTAGTGTGTGATAAATCTCAATTGAGTAAAGAAGATTATGAAAAAGATTAATTATTAGATGAAATTTCAAATAAGTTATTATCACATGGAGTTTCAAATAGCTTTTTCCACAATGAAATTTCAGAGGCTAAACAGAGTTTATAAAAAAAAAAGGGGGTCTTTAAGTTGTTTTTTTTTTCATTTTTTTTAAGATGGAATTTCAAGAGTCGTAATTGATTATGAAAGGGTATCCTAACACATCTATAATCTTGTTTAGTACTCTCCCATCCAAAATGGGTAATCTTCATTAAACATCCTGTACAAGTATTTTAATATTGATAATTTAAATTTTAATATATCATTTTTTTTAAAAAATAATAAATGAAGTAAGGATATATTTAAAAAAAAAATTCTAGAAACTATTAAATATTCTATATTTTAAATCAAGCAAGAATTTGAAAAGATAGTTATATTGTGGCTAGGTATGAGCATTGTAGTTTGCAAGTTTAGCTCAACCTCCATGATGTTGAGTCTCACATAAGAGATCGGAGCATTTTACTGGGTCTAAAACACAATGCCATTCTTGCAACTTATCTCTTCACAATGTAAACGTGTCCTTTAGTCAATAAAGGGCACTGAAACCAAGGAGGAAATTCAATGTATACCCAACAATCAGTCGCAAAAGACACGCATATGACAACTAGAAGCCCAGCAATCCGAAGACACAATTCATATGTAAATTTATTCTTTAAACAATAAAGACCACTGAAAGAAACTAATATTCAATGCATCCTAACAATGATCTGATACAAAATCATGTGTATTTCTCAGCCATCTGGAGGAGAGACTGGCAAACTTCTTGTGGTTTGGAAAACATAGCCATATGATCTGCATCTTTGATTTCCAAGACATCTTCAATTCCAGCATTTTCAATCATCCAACGTTGATATGCTAATGGAATTATCGCATCCTCCTTACAAGCAATATAAGCCTTTGGAACCGAACCATACCCTTCTTCTGAGAAATTCTCTGCCTTCCGCAATTCTTCAACAAAAAGCCATCCTGGCCTTATCAACGTCTTGGCTAACTCAAGATCCTGCATCCCAGTTGGCATCACTCTTCAAATCTAAAACCTCTTGGATTCTTTATTTAAAAATTATTGTATAGAACTCAAAAGGAGAGAGAAATTGAACTCTATGCATCTAAGACAATTCAATTGAAGAAGGTAGGCAGCCATGACCCGTACCTCAATGGGACTGAGTTGATAAATTTTGGTGGACAAACACTTGAACCCAAAAATCATTGATGCAGATCCAGATGATGAAATATTCATGTTGAACTCTTCATTCAGGTCTTCTCTCTCCATGGGCTTATCATTCATATGTATAAATTCAAAAGTCACATGTAAAGAGTAAGGACAAACACGTGCTACATCAAACTCATATTTTATAACTAAGGTTTGCATTTATTTGATAAATGAGGAATCAAAAGCATATATACCTGTTGTTCTAGGACATAAGAGGGTGGATGTTGGGTATCAGGAACAAAAGCTGCTAAGAAAACAGCAATTGCTATCTTGTGAGGGAACTTGTCCATGGCAAGAGCTAAACTCAATCCTCCAAAGCTGTGTCCAACGAGAGCAACCTTTTCACCTGGAGGCAGAGATTCTAAGAACTCTAAGAGTGGCTCAGAGTACTCAGCAAAACTACCAACATCTTCAATTCTCTTGGGGTTGATGCCCGAGGCTGCAAGGTCCAGTACTGTGACCCTGTTGCCTGCAGACTGAAGCTGAGGCTTGAGCTTGTACCAGCACCAAGCTCCATGGCAAGCTCCGTGCACCAGAACATAATGCTTTCCTTCCATTGTTTTGCTCCTTACAGCAGAAGCTACAAAAGTTTGGGGATTATATAGACGGGGCTTAACTGTTGAATATCATTACAAGTGAATGTTATTTAAACGAGGCATTCAATGTTTTGGGTCAATATGGTCAGAAGCATTAAGTTGGCTTTATGATAGAATGTATTTTTGTGCTTAAATGACTGGTGTTGCACTGCCGTTAATCTTTGTATGTTTTGCTACCGCGAGAACCAATTTATTGTGAGTTAACTTTTGTTTGACTATTGGTCGAGAGAAAGGGGTGGGGGGTCCCATCGGTGAAAATATGGCTTTCAAGTTTGAATCTTGTGGCTAATGCAAAAATTTCATAGATAATCTATATATTTTTAATCAAATTTCACTTTCACAATAAATTAATTAATTATTTTTAAATTAACACTATATTTTTAGGTTTACCTTTATTTATTAAGATATTTCATTTAAAAATAAAATTAAAATGATTTATTTATTAAGGAAATTTTTGAAAAAAATATTAATTAACTTTTGAAATACTAAAAATATTTTATATTTTTTAATATCTTATGCAAATGTATTATGTTTTTAAATGGAGAAAGTACGTACTTAAGTAAATATTCCTTGAATCTTGACGGCTAAACTGGCATTGATAAGCTCTTAAAACCGAAGTTGTTAAACTTAGGAATTTAAGTTAACTGCTCATAGTATGTCTCATTAGTCAAAATCTCAATAAATTTTGAAGAGCGAAGTGGGAAAGTATTAGAAGGAAAAAACTTTCCTTTTCTTTTTATTAAAAGGAAAAACTTTATATTCAAGTTATCTTTTATATTCTATCCATTTTAAAATAAGTCTTTTAAAAACATAAATTTTGTTTTATTTTACACGTCATTTATGCAACATTTATTAATAATTTTCTCATTACAGCCTTATTTACATGAGTAACGTGGAAATGTTTTGGTGCATTAAATTAAAGGTAAATTAATTAATAATATAGTCAATATTTTAATATATATTAGAAAAAATTACATACAAGTCCTATATAAAAGACTTATTGACAAATAGATCCCGTGAATTTGAAAAAATACAACCTATGTTGATGCTTTTGATTTTTTCTCGTAATACGCACATTAAGGATAAGGATCCTATATTGTGTTATGACATCCTCAAGAATTACCTTATAAGTTTTATAAAGTCTTCTATCTATGTTCCTTATCAAAAAATAAATAAATAAATCTATGACCTTGAGGCCCACTTTTGTAGGTAATGAGATGTTCATCATTCTTCTTGAAACAAGTGTTAGCAATATTGAAATCATACACTAAAGAAAAATTAAGAATAGATTGTCCTTATTGTTTAGCTTTCCAAAATCAAAACCACCATGCATCTTCGCATAATGACCTGCCTTCCTCTTAACATGACTATTAAAGTCTCCTTCAACAAAGATCTTTTCACTTTATGGTATGCGTTGAATCAACCCCTCCAGATCTTCTCAAAACAATTCCTTAAGATCGGCTTTTGCCCCAGCCTTAGGTGCATAATTCTGTCCCAAATTCTATTAACTTCTACCACATTCTTCTTCCATTCTTATCAACAATGATACCAGCCCCATTACATGTATTTATTTTTTCAGTATACCAAAGTTTAAAACCTTAAATATCCTTAACTTGTTCATTGAGCCATTTAGTTTCCTGCAGGTACAAGATATTAATTTTTCTATGAATCATAACTTCTACCACCTTCATAGATTTACAATTCAAGGTCTTAACATTTCAAGTACCAAATCTGATCTTGCTCACATAGACTAATTTCTTTAGCTACATTCGTCTAAAATAACATGATAGCTCTTGCTCATTTAAAACTATATTCGGGCGACGATGCAATGACTCTAACTCATTTGTCACTGCACTCAAGCCATGCATTGCGTTACTGCAAACAGCGACTTAGCATTAGCACAAAAGCGTCTATTGTCCATATCCACGTGAGATTTAATAAAGTTTTACATTAATTGTTAAGGGCCTAATGCAACCCTTCTCTTTTCCTCAGGCTTAAAACCGGCTATAAACATAGGCAAAGTTCTTATTTTAATAAATTCATGAGACTTATTTGCACAAACAAAAGAAAAAAGTCTCTTATTTAAGACCTGTTCATAACTTTTTGTTATTTTTTAGGGTCTTTAATGCTTAGAAAAAATACATGATAAAGTATATAAATTTCACGGACCATTTATTGTATCTTCTAAGCAACATCAGTTTATAAATTAAGTTCACTAAAGACAATATAAAATAAAATAGACCTCAATACATGAGCCAAAATCAAACTTAGTAAAACATTATTATTATTTAAAAAAATGGATAACCCATGGATACGTGTTTGGTAGTTGGTTCAATTTGTTTTGATAAGGGGCAAAAAAGCCACCTAAATAACATTGTTATATAGAACATTCTTCAAATATTCTATTATTATTGTGTATATATCCAGTCATTATTAGGTGATATTATTTGATATTATTATGTAATTATTAGTTATTATTAGGTTGTCTTTTTCTTGATGTGCATGTTGTACCTTTCAGCTCAATAATAGACAAGATATTTTTTCATACTTCTCTTACTCGTTTCATGGCACCAGAGTTGTATTTTTCTCGCTCCTTCTTCCAGTATTACCTCTCCATCCTTTGCTCATTTCATCCCTAACATTGTCTTTGGCTGCCTTTTCTCTTGCCTTTGGAATTTTCCTTCATCTTTTCACAATTCAGGTGGGACCCACTTTAGCTTTTTCTCTTGCCTTCTACATAATAGCTAGTTTAGTTCTTTTTCCTCCCTTAAAGTAGCATCAATTTTGTCATCTTCCTCATTCAATTTTTAAAACTTCTCCTCTACCTGATTGAGCCAACTCGATCTATGTGGACTCTTTTACTTTGGGATTCTTGCTTTGCAGTGGAATTCCTACTTAATCACCGTCTCCTCTTTGTCTTTGTATTTTTTTTCCTTATTATTCAATGGAAAAATTTGAGATTGCTCAACCTATTTTTGTTTCGTTGACTGGTCCTAACTATCGCTTATGGATGGAAAGTGTACGTGGTTTTTTAAGAGGTAGGAAATGTTGGTGATATATTATTGAGGATGTCTCATTTCCTGTTAGATCCTCTTTTACAGATGACCAAAATTTACTGATCGATTAAATAATTGGGATAGTAAAAATAATCAAATCATAACATGATTTCAGAATACTTCTACCGCTAGTATTGATCAATAGTTTGGGTGCTTTGAAATTGCTAAGGAGGTATGGGATCATCTTGTTAATTAGTATATCTCTTCTGATTTTTCCAGTCAATACCAACTGTAGAAGGACTTGGCTATTCTCAAAATGGAGAAAGGGCAACTGTTGCTTGAGTTTCATTCTAAGATTGAGGCTATTTATGACCAACTAGCTTATTCTAAGCCTACTTTTAAAAAGGATGAGGATGCTAAAGTTTTCTCCAAGTGGCGAGATCAACTTTGTCCTATACAATTCTTGATGGCTCTTGCTGATGATTTTGAGCCTGTTTTGCCTTTGTGCTTTACTAGTGCTCACTTCTGACTCTTAAGGATGCTCTTCTTCGTCTCCATTCCAAGGAAACTCATTTGGGTCTTCTCCAGTGATCCCCTGACAAGGCTTTTGCTACTTTCAGAAGGAATTTTATGCTTTACTGTTGTTGCCCTTAATCTACTCACACTTTTGATCAGTGTCCATATATTAGAGAACTTGCCAGAAGAAGGAATATATTGCTGCGAATTGTCCTTCTTTGACTTCTCATTATTATAAGAAGTATAGGCATCTCATTGATCAGTGCCCCACTCAACATCCCAAACCTGATTAGGGGAGGTCATTTAGGTCTAATTTCTCATCATCCAATCTTGCTCTATCTATTACTGATGAGCCACCTATTGCTACTGCTTCTACTTTAGGATCCTTTACTGCTGAACTTGAGTCTTTACTCTGTAAGATTATCTTTGGTTCTTTCAGTCTACCTACTGCCTTAGTTACACCCTCAACTACACCTTCTTAGTATTTTGATTTTGCTTGTTGTAACCATATGACCAGTTAGAAACACTTCTTCTCTTCTATGTCACTTAATACTACTGCTCAACACGATTGATGACTTCCAAAATGCTTGTTAGTCATATTGGTACTATTCCTTACCCTCTCTGTCCATTCATGATAATTATTTGGGTCCCTAACATTAGTTTTAATCTCCTATTTATTATACAATTAGTTGATATAGGCTATGATGTTTTATTTAACGAACGTGGTTGTGTTGTTTCTAATTCTCAGATAGGATAGGTTATTAGGACTGGGCGTAAGGTTGGTCGAGTGTTTGAGCTTAATTCCCTGTATCTTCTTGAAGTCACTTCTTCTAGATTGTATACTCCCTTTATTTCTGCTTCCTTTGAATTATGGTATCGTCGTTTGGCTCATCTGTCTTTAATCGCTTTGCATCCTTTACTTTCCACTGGTCTTTTGGGATAAGTTGATGTTGAGTCTTTACATTGTATCTCTTGTCAAACTGCTAAATAGCCTGCTTTATCATTTAATAAAAAAATGACTCTATTGCTAATGAGCCTTTTAATTTAGTTCATTCTAATGTTTGGGCCCAGAACCTACTCCCTTTATGGGAGGCTCATAATATTTTGTTATTTTTGTTGATGACTTCTCTTGTTATACTTGGATTTACATGATGAAAAGTCAATCTAAGTTTCCTAATATCTATGTTAAATTTGCTACTATGGTTAGCATTTAGTTCTCTAAAGTTATAAACATTTGTCAATCTAAGTTTCCTAATATCTATGTTAAATTTGCTACTATGGTCGCATTTAGTTCTCTAAAGTTATAAATATTATTCTTCGTGATAATGCCTTAGAATATTGTGATTCTAAACTACTCAAATTTCTTGATACTTAGGATACAGTCTCTCAATACTCATGTCCTTATAGCTCTCAATAAAATGGTCAAGCTGAATGAAAACACTGTCATATTCTTAACTTAGTTTGGGCCCTCCTCATTTCTTCTTCCTATCCTAAATG